TGCCCTCACCTGTGTTTTATTTCACCCTCGCAGCTGCCTGTTCTGCTGATGAATTCGTATGCAAAGAGTTTTATTATGTGCGTGCCAGTAAATATTTGCATGTGTGAAATAATGTAATTTGCTCATGGATATGTTTAATTGCTTTCTCCAGTTTTGACACAAATCTTATTCCGAAGTCGTGGACCAGCAGAGACTGACTCTCCCCTCTCCCTGTATATAAAAAAAACATTATGTATGTGTAAAGAGACCCACTGACACCACACAGTCTCGACTTGTTATCTGTATTTGTTTTCACTCAGTACCTCTGGGTCTCTGACCCCATCTCTCTTCCTCTCCTCTGTCCTCCATCACTACATACCAATGTCTGGGCAAGACCCGACAGGCTCCTGTGGCGCTGTGAGCTGACTGTGTGTCAAAGAAAACCTCCTACTGTTAAGTTTCAGTGGTGGTATCGTAGGTAATGTATAGTAATTATATCAAAATGTAACCTGAGGCATCACAGAGATCCTTCTCATACCGCGTACCTTCCAAACAATATAAGAACAATGACAAACTGTGACACCGGCACAAACTATGTTAAGCCTCCAGACATCATCTCCACCTGTTTATAAACCATTTCAAACAACACCTGTCTGATTTCTCTTCCAGTAAGCAGCAAAACAAAAAGTAAGGCACCCTGTGACTTTAAGGGGACATGTTTGATTTCCTGATTTAACAAGAGAAAAGTCGCTGTGTCAGTCAATTTGCTCTTGAGTGGACAGCAAACCCCACATTTCAAAAACAGTAAAACCATAAATTCTGTTGGATAGTCAGACTTTACTGTAACTGTTGATATCAAGGCTTTCTTTTACTTTAACACCTTCAAAAATCATAAAAACACACTCATTTCTCACAGGTGAAGCACATTTTTAAGGTGTTTATAGTTGTACAAATCTTGACCATTTTACCTTTTTGTAAAGGTTAACACCTGGTTTCTAAAGAGATTGGGTACACGATATTGCCACATGTGAAAACATTTTTACATGTAATATCTTAAAATGTATTCTTTCACTTTTTAGCGTTTATACGATCCATGACTTGCACATGCACTTTGTTGTTTGAAAAGTGAAGTTTGGGTGAAGAGCCTGCTCACAAACATCTCTTGAAGATGGCGTAAGCACTATCACTAAGTTTGACTTGCACAGATTCACATCACAGATCCAGGATTTCAATCAGCAACCTTTGATTCACAAGCTGGTCTGAATATTTATGTTGATTCTCATCTGATTGGAGCGTTGTTTAGGGGCTTTTTCGTCAATATTTGTGAACCAAACTGAAGTAAAAGAAATCAAAAATTCCCTTTAAACGTGCACGTAGTCGTTACCTGGTGAAGAGCCCTTCCTTCCATTCATGTGTTTTGGACCTGACAGCTTTGTTTGTAACTTCAGGTTACGTAGACAAGTTACACCTCATCATTCAGGATTGATAATACATGAAAAACACAGACATACCTGTGGCTGTGCCTTAAGCCTCTCCGGGGGGTTGTAACCGTTTGTGCAACAGGAATTTGACATGAATGGACAAGTACGTTCAACGCACCTGCTGTACAGTGATGTGATGTCTGCAGGTCAGAGAAGATTTATTCTTATTTTAATTAAGAAACTTCCTCATAATTGGGGACTTGGGGGATCTTGAATAAAATCAGGAATTGTATCTTTCAGAAGACAGATGGACAATATTAACATGAGCAAATCATCAGAATAAAGACGGTCCGCTACATTTACTATCGGAAAATTGTCAATATTAAGATTCTTCAGCATTGACTTCTCGCTTAAAACAGTCTTAGAAGTGAATTTAGTTTTACTGTTCATTGCCTGCTCCTCTGCTTCCTCACAGGTCTCAGCCAATCACTTTGGTCAGATGAAGCTGTTTTTAAATGTGCTATACAAATAAACTTGATTTGATTTGATGATCCAGAAATGAATGCTGGGATACCTGTTCTGAGATGTTCACACAAGTCAGCAAACGATGCATACCCGGTAAAATCGGCTTGTTAGGACACTTCTGGGGATTTTAATATTATTGGTGAAATGCAAACTTGTGAATTGAGACAGTACTTGACCGCAATAGATGACGTTTCATGGGGACACAAGTAAAAAAAAGTACAGACAAGAACGCATAATGAGTAAGGCTCTTAAAGTCAGCTTATTCAAGGTGGTTTAAAATCTAATTTAAGGTTGATAAATGTTGGTTATAGTTTCATATGAGACAGAATTCTTTCTTTGACCTGCAGCCTAATGTAACTGGATTTTGATACCGTTGTCTAACAGAAAAACACTGTATAGGTTTAGATTACATTTGTGTGATACGTCTGTAGTTCTGATCTAAAAGAATACATCTCAAACTAGTTTAACACCTTCTCAGTCAGTAAGTCAGCAGGTTCAGTCTGAGCCGACAGGTGTGTTGTCAAATAAGTATAAATACAAAGAAATAATAATGGTTGAACAATGATAAGGTACAAGGCTGTTGGATAAACTCGGCTACTCAGTCTCACAGCCTTAACAATTCGATTACTGTGTCTTTAAATAAAGGCCTTGACTTCATTGCTGTTGTGAGTTTCGGGTCTGATACAATAATATATTTCTCTAACGCGTTATATAATTATTAAGTGACCTTTTTCTCAACAAGTCCTCCTGAAAAAAAATGCTCTTGTGTCATTGAAGATTATAATAATTATAATAAAGCTGCCAATAAAAGCCAAACTTCTGTTTAAAACTTGAATGAACTTAAAACTTAAGAACTTAAATGTGAATGTTCATATTAGAGGGAAAAAATATATATTATTAATTGAAATCTAGTCAACAAGCCAATCCTGGGCATGGAGTATTTATTATTTTCATTTTCACTGTAATAACAGTTTAAAATTTTTAAATTGTGGAAAGAGCGTGTCTGAGACAACCCTCACAGCGTGTGTGGGTTTTTGGAGAATGAGCACCACCTAGTGGCCAAAGTTGTCATAACAGTTTGAGGTAATAAATATAAACCAGCAGCCTTTCTGTGAACACTACACCATCTTATTTGTGTAGCTTGAACTAATGCAGTCTAACACCTACAGTGCTGTTATGAATCTTCAAGCCTTGTAGAGGGTTAAAATGTTGATGATGTTGACATTTTTTTGGGGAGTTGTAGTTCCAGCTGAATGTTCATTTTGAAGGCCTCCACTATTTAACATTTTTGCAGTGCTTTTAAAAAAAATTTCTCTCGCTCATTCATTCACCGCTGCATTTTGCTTGATAAGGTACTTGGCCCTCTCTTACTGAAGGATGCATTAACCTCTGGCATCTATTCATCTATAAAGCCCTTATTGAAAAGTTACCATCACATACCACCTCCTTGTTGCATCTGAACCCTGGTCCATTTTTAACTCGCTTACCTCGAGTGAGAGACTGGTTCTCCAGGTTCCTCATACCAGGACTGACCTAGGAAAAACTGTTTTTAGCTTAAGTGCAGCAAACTCTTTGAATATTTTACAACATAACATGAAATTGTGCACTTGTATTGCTCTTAGACACTTGGAAAATTATTGTAGCGATAGCTTTTAAATAATTATTGTTTTATATACTGTGTCTTAAATAAAACTAAAAGTGGTACTAAGGGGGGATAAAGAAATACATCACCGTCCTAATTCGTGTGATAGTAATTATCCAATGACTGGTGCGGACACAAGAAACATGATGCTCTGAAAATACTTTTCTTGCCCATTTGACTTATCCCCACATCATCACTCAACTTTTTTAAGCGCAAGATTTCTCCCGAAGCCCCCTGTCTCTCACCCACCCCTGAGACCGGGGGAGGGAGGACTCTTGTGCAAGTCTCACTTTCTCCCAACCCCTCTCCACTCACGTTCACAGGAAGGAGTTATCAATTAGAATGCAACATAATTAAGCACAATTAAGTGCAAGTGGCAGACAAAATTGTCCTTTGCTGGAGCTGCACTAACCTGTGGACTGCATTGTCAATCAATCAATCAATCAATCAATCAATCAATCAATCAATCGGGTGGAAATGTTTTTACCAACAAGCCAGCACAGTATTTTAGGTCAAAGCACTCATAAATGTTTTATCTTCAAACAGTGTTCCAGGGACCGCATTTTCCTCTGACAGTTTGTGTATAGAGTTATGAACATATACCACAGAATCTGAACACTTCTCCATATTTCTCTGCCTAAACTCCACAGTGCACCTTTAAAGGCAGAATGTGCAACATTTTAGAAATCCAGTTTATCCTCTGTAAATGGCTGTGAGTCATGACTTTCTACAATGACTGACAAGTGAGTCCCGCTGTCTGTGATGTTGTCTTAGCCTTATCTACATCATGTTTACATGGACGGGACTGCCGGTCGACTCATCCCCTTGCTTATAAAAGCTGTTTAAGTGAGTTTAAAGGGGCTATATGTAAATATTTACATGTATAAATCGTTTTTTATCGCCCATTAATAATGAACGGTTAACTGATGTGAAAAAGTAGATGTTCACTGTCTATCTGTGTTGCCTGTATAAAAAGTTTCCCCGGGTCGTATTTTCCACGAAAGCTCCAGGAAGTGACATTTTGTGCACTCAACGTCCTCCTCACTCCGCTCCACTTACAGAGATCAACAGTACAAACTCATCACACACTCCCAGTCTTCACCTGCACAGCCAGAGGTCGCCTTCCACACACTTCTTCTTCATGCTCGTTTGTGTACGTACGAGCATGTATGACGAGAACGCTAGGGAGAGCGAGCAACAGGTTACTGGTGCAGTTCGCCTAACGGCCATGCGGTATCACTACAAACACAGTATTTTTGAATGTTACATATAGCCCCTTTAAGTTCAATTGAAGTTTTATGCTGGTGCTCAAGGGCGACACCTACTGGATCAAAAAAACGCACATTCTGCATTTAAAGTAATGGCTATCATCTGGTCGAGCCTCAGGACCCACAACTAACTCCTTCATGAAAAAACACAAGCAAAATTTGTGATATTTTTCAACCAATCAGATTTATTCAAGGAAAAATTGGAGCAGTGTGGATTTCAAACGATACAAAATGTGACAGAAAAAAAAAGAGACATAAACAAACAAACATGTTTGAAAAACGCTTCATAGACTTTTTGAAACATCGTTTTTCCAGGTACACATTCCCGACCCGCCAGAGAAATGCTGATTTGAACAAAATCACACGTGTTCAGCAGATTAAAATTGACGATTTATGGGACGCTGATGGCCTCGCAGTTAGGTCGCTCCCCATGTACGAGTCCTTCAAGAGAGCGGCCCAGGTTCAAATCCGGCCTGTGGCTCCTTTATCGTATGTCCTTCCCCACTCTCTCCTGATTTCTTACTCTATCCACTTTCCTATCAAATAAAAGGAAAAATAAGCCCCAAAATAAAATCTTTAAAAAAGATTTGCTTCTTCTTAAGATTTATTTTTGAGCCTTCATTAAGGCCTCTGATTGGCTCTTCAGCAAAGCAAAAAAGTGCACAAGAAGAAAAACGGAATGACGCAAGCAAGTGAAGGACTACAGTCAAGAGGCAACTTTTTATCGGACATTATTCTCGATTAGAAGTACCTATTTTACGAGTGGTGAGCGACAGCGGTGTGAAAATGGTCTTCTCGTATTATAACAACGTATCAACGGTCTATAGATCTGCATTCTTCTCCGTCCTCGTCCGGTTTCCATTTTTTGGATTGACGATTACAGACTACCGCCACCTGGTGTCATGGAGAGTTATTTCCTCTCATGCATGCGCAGCACTTAGGAGGTGGTTGGCCGTTGTTGTACTCTTTGCGGTGACTGCAACTTTTTGGCCAAGACTAAAGGCATCTAAGGCGACGTGAGGCCCTTGTCACCACTAGCTCTTTGCCGTCTGCTTAGTGTGTCAGGGCCTTTGCACGCAAACTAAACACTACTGTTTTGAACTGTTGAATATACACAAAAAAACAATTATACTGCATTACTTTGGGGGTAAAAGCTGCTGTTTCCTACCCTCTAGCATTTGAAAGCACAGAGTATGATAAGCTCACAAGCTCAAAGCTCACAGCCTGCTTCACTGTCACTTCATATAAAGTCTGAAATAAATGACATTTGACTTCTCTCTTGTTGATTAAAACTTTCTCAATACAGCAGTGAAGCAGCTGCACACACTCACTCGTCTCGGGATTATAAACATCTAGCTCAAACATTCCTCTCTTTCTTCCTCGTGCTTCAGTTTGTTTAAACAGTGGTCGCTGAGCTCTGTGCATGTCGTTTGGGATCACTGCTCTTCCAACTTGAACCATGAGAGCCCCAGGTTTTAGTGTTTGAAACAATAACTTCACTTAATAATGTCCCACTTACGCCTTGGTATCTAACCATGCCTATAGTTTTCCTTTTAACTGTAGAGATTAAAACATGTCTTCCTAACAAATTAAGAAGTTAGAATGTAACTAATTAAAAACACTGACTGTCAAACTTTTCTGTTTTTTAACAACTTTCTTTAAAAAGAACTTCAAAACATAATTTATAAGCTGATACGAGCCATTTAGAAACAACACATTTCCAATCTCACGGTTTAACTGCATGCATAATATGGTTGTGATTTGATTGAATGTGATTAAAGAAGTTTGACTTTAAAGCTGATATATTGTATTTCAAAGATGATGTATAATGTAGGATATTTTAAAGCTGATATGTGAAGGATTGAAAAGATGTGTTGCTGATCCTTCTCATACGCCTCTGTGTTTGGATGAAATTATTTCAGGCCTGTTGTTTTGTAGAAACAAATACCAAGAGGATCATCCGGCCCGCTCACAGGCCAGGTGACGCCTTTGGGTGGGCCTTGGCCCGCCCACTTGTACCACTGGCCCTTGATTAAATCCTGAAAAAAACAAACACTTTCCTTATTTTCTCTTTCATATATTCAGATAAAATATTTGAATACAATTAAAACACTGTTAATGATGCAGCTATCAAGTGTAAGGTCTGAATATATCTTTCTTTATTTTCAAACACGTTTGAAAGATTTGACAAGAAAAGAAAGAGAATATAGGAGCAGGATGACGTTTACACTTCTTTATTTCTTAACCCTGGCTACCTTTCAGCATCCATTTTTTTGTATTGTTACTGTGTGATTCTCACCTTCTTCTTCTTCATGTTGATCAGAGCTTTGATGCTCAGAACAGCTAAGCTAATGCAGACACACAGCTGGAGAACAGTCGCGACGATCATCGTGATGTCAATACCTGTCAACAAACGCTTCAGACAAAAAAAAGAAGAAAGAAGTCAATTTAAAGGTCACATGATATGTAAAATACTCTTCACCATGTTTTTTTTAACACTAATATGTGTCCCTACGCTGTCTATAAACCCCCCAATCATTTTGCCTGCTCCACTTTTCAGAAAATGTGTGTTCAAACAGGCCGTTTGGAGATGTTCCCTTTGTGACATCACAAAGGGCAGTAACCCTTCCCCCAGGTGGGTGTTTGTTCTGCCCTCTGAGTCTGCCTTCTCACAGTGAACAATTGGGCAATGGTGCAAGAAAGCCCAAGACACGTCCCCTTCCAGAGAGGGGGCGTGGTCAGAGACAACTCATTTACATTTAAAGGTACAGACACAGAAACAACCTTTTATGAGCAGGGCTGAAAAAGAGGGGTTTATAGACATGATCAAATACAGGATCGGAGTGGATTTAGAACAAGAAAATGCACAGACATGTTTTAGGGACTTGTTTAAAAGGAATAAAGTACATGACTTTTGAAACGAAGGAGATGTACACTGTAACATGGGCTTTGAACATTCAGTATTAAAGGTGTATTTAATAAAAACAGATACATCAATACACAGAGATTCACTGTGAAACCATCAATGTTGGTTATAAAACTACTTTGTCAAGACTCAAATAAATGTTATATAAATTTGTGCAAATATGACTCTGCTAGCACCTTCAGCCCGTTGTTTGCAAAACGTTAGCATATGGAGTATGTGTATGTGTATTCAACTCATGCCATGACAGCTGTAGCTGTGGCTAAATGGCTACATTGGAGACGGTAATTTATTTAGCTAGTTCAGATACGTTTGTAAGGTTTCAAATTTGTAAAATTAACTCTAAGACTGACAAGAATAGAGACATCTTTTTGTAACTAAATTAATTCATTTATTTCTGTGCAAGCCTGAGACAAACCTTGGGTAAGATGCACCCAGTAAAACTGCTAAACATAACGACAACGATGTGTCGCTGTCTCTTAGGAGTAACATCTGCTTCTTGCTATGTGACTCTATTTTTTGGCCACCTTTAGAAAACATAAAGTATGTGTTTTCTGTGTTGAAACATTTACAACATGTTAAGTCAGGACATCAGGAGAAACAAATGGGGCTTGGAACGTATAAAATGAAGTATTAGAGATCAACTTTTGTTTCTTTCTTACAGACAAAACAGTGACAAAAATGTAGAACTTCAAACCAGTTTTATCCTAAGTCTAAAAGTTTGCTCACCCGATAAGTAGACAACACAATGTGGCAATCATTCCACTCGCTCCAGTTGCAAAACCTGGCAGACAAGTCTTCTTTCAGGTCGTTGCTGTACATCACAATGCCAACGATGGAAAAGATAAATCCCACTATGTTCATAAACACAGCGAAGCCCACCTGAGAAGACACATTTCATTATTCAGCTGACTTCAATTCTTTTTTTTTCTTTTTTTTTTTAAATCATAAAAGACGGCATGTTTTTCAGGGACTTCGGGCTCTACTCACCAAGCAAAAAGAGGAGAACCGGCCGGCCAGAACAGAGACGATTCCACACAAAAGGAACTGAAGAGAGGAAAGCGTACAAAACAGTGAGGTCAATGAAATGATCACAACTCATGTTCCCCTTTTTCAGACAGAAAAGGTAAACGAGTTACGACGTTTTATACCCTGCAGTCTTTGCACGGCCATAGGCTGCCTGCACGCCACCAACACGATCTGTGTGATGTTTTCCGTTCACCAGTGTGTTGTTCTCTGCTCTGTTGTTGATATTGTGATTCTGTTGAACTTCACACAGCGTTGACATGAAGTCAAATATTTCTCATTATTGCATCGTTTAGCGCAGTGTTTGTCAAAGTGGGGGTCCTCAGGGGGTTCTAGGGGGGGGTCACAGAAACTTGGTGGGAATACAGTTGTATTTGGCTGTATTGGTTCTGGCTCTTAGCTCTCAGCAGTATCAGTGCAGCATGCCACAGATTTTGCTGAGAGTGCAAACCTTTAAATTCCCCCCACAGGGACATGCAGAACAGAACCTGAATGTGCATGTAATGATTCTGACATCTTGTAGACATAACAAGCAAACAATTCATCCTAGAATATAAAATGTGGCTGATGGAGGTCGGAGTGGTGGAAGGAGAATTTCACAGCCGTGTCTAGCAGCAGAGTGGATGTGATGCAAAGAGGCAGAATGGTTTAAATAGACCGCCTTGTTGTCAGAGTGTGATAATGATTGGTTGGCATTGGGGCGGTTCTCAGATCAGCTATTCTGCCTGAACTAACGCAAGGCCCTAGTACTGGTATTAGGGCAGCTCGATTATGGCAAAAATCGTAATCACAATTCATTTGATTGATTTCGAGATCACTGTTATTAAAAATGGAGTCAGAGAAGTGCGTTCACAAATCTGCTTACCCCAACTGTGTGTTGACGATTAACTAGGGGTGAACTGATTCTGACATTTCTATGCACATGTGCACCACACTCGGACAATATTGTAAAATCTCAGGGGAGTAGATCGTGTGTGAAAGGGTCTAGTTAAAAAAAGAGAGGAATAAATATGTCCCTACCACACCACCCAGCCAGTAAGAAACTCCCAGATGAGCAAAATCCTCAGGATGTATGCTTATTCGTCCTGACCCGAGTCCAATGTTGAACAGCCCCACCATGATCTGTATCACCTGTATAGATTCAAAACAATGATATCAATCAGGACCACCTCTTTAACGACATAAAAATAAATATGATTAAAATATGATTAAACTTTCTTCACCCCAAGAGCTGCAGTCACGCTGGTCTGCATCATTCCTTCGTAAATGGTGCACCTGAAGCACCCGGGACTGTAGCAGAGAGCTTTGAGGATCTGACACAATGGGGGAAGCATGCTCTTTTTGTCCACCGTCACAGTGATCACAGTCGTTTCTGCATCTTTGACAACGTTGACGGACATGTTTGACACCTGGTACAAGACACACAGAGAGGTCTGAACGGATGGTTGGAAACAAATGAGTCGCCTACCTATCAAGACTGTTGGGATGCTGCAGTGTATCAGCAACCAAGTCACACATTAATCCCAAAACAAACATTAAAAGCAGACTGATAGCAGAAATAAAATGTGATATCATTTGAACTAAAGAAACTAATGTGCATTATATATTATTTATAGAACTGTACATCCTGGGAATAATGTTGTCTTTAGTTTGGGACAAAATGTCACATCTTTAATCTTGACTTCAGATGGCGCTTATGGCAGGAATGAGGGTTACATCAATGGAAGATAATTGGCCAAATAAAGACTGACAGTGGGATCATGCCGGACAGCAGTGAAACAAGTAAAGTGATGAAACATGACAAGAGCTGAAACTGGCACCAAATTACAGAGGAATTTAACGATTTCAACAGCAATTACATTTTTAGGGCCTGGTGTCAATATCATGGGCCAGGTGTCACCTGATTCTCTCTTGTAGGCTATCATTACAGGGAGGTGAAACTACTTCAGGTGCTCCTCGGAAATACCAGTCATAGAGCTCAAATTAAAACTTTTTTTTTTTATTGTTTAGCTTTTTACCTGCTTTTTACCCAAGCACTTGAACGCGTGTATGTCGTCATTACACCTGCACAACTGGCAAGTCTGGTATTTCCGAGGAGCTCGTGAAGGCAGCATAATTAAATAAGCGCAACAACTAACGACGGACCCAAATAACAACCAGATGTGTCATAAAACGAGTGAAAACCGTCAACGCATGACCACCAGGAGACGCAAAGCAACTAAAACCAACCTTAAAGACAGAAAACAACTAAAAAAGATGTGTAAAAAGAAATTGAAGAGACACGACAACTAGAACAGGGAAAGCAAAAAAGCACTCAGAGAAGCCTGACACAGACACATGTTGTAGCGTGTTGTCTTCCTTTGTATTTTATTTTACCTACTTCTTAACTACGTTGATAATGACGCAGAGAAGGGCATGAAGGCTACAGCTCTACTACAACCACATTATTTTCTACGTTTCACCTAACGCAGCGAGTTACTAGTTTTTAATAGTTTGATATTTAATCATACTTGTATCATAGTTACAGCTGTTCATATTTAGATTTAGTTGGATACAATTCGGTTTAGCAGCGTGCTGTTCCTCCATCTCTTTTCCTACTTTTCTCTGACCCAGCCCTCTTTCTCTCTCACAAAGCGTAAACACATTATTTCAAAGATAAATAAACATCTTTAATCACCAGTTAGGATTTCAGTAAACACATTGTCTCAATATGGCAATAGTTGTTTTGTCTTACAGGAGCTTACCTGGTACGTGTCGACGACTCCCTGTAACTCCTCCTGTTTGATTAGTCGATGATGATTTCCCAAAAGTAGTGTTGGGCAACAGCTGAGATAAAACCAAGGGGCAACCTCCGGTCTCGAAAAATTGAAGCCTATGCGGAAGTACAAAAAACTGCAGTTCCTCGAGGTTCCGCTTGAGGCTGGCTGCAGAAGCGCCGGAAGTGCCAGAAGCCCACAACCAAAAAAAGCCCGTTTTTACCACAGGAATCAAAATGTTTACAGCCTGGTTCAAAAAACGAGATGTATCTGAGAAGTTGACGGCCCCTTCTCCTCACACTGTGGGGGGGGGGGGGGAATTTTTTTTATAGCTCATCGGATTTTATTCTATTAAGGAAAACGACTATGCCCATATTTGGTTGTGTCAGATTTGATTGACAGCTCTGCGCGGTCAGCAGGTCAGGAGGCTAACAGCTTGATCCGTCTGATTTCTCCTCTTTCTTACTTCGTTTGGAGAGTTTGTTTAACACATATCTGACAACATACATGGCTTGCTGTGCGGTTAACAGGCCATCCAACAAGTTGATGCTTCAGTTTTTTTCAGTAAGTGATATAGTAGTGTTATATTTATAACCAGTCGGCTAACTGTACTCAGTGTAGCTCATTATTTACATTATTTATATTATTTACATTATTTACATTATTTACGGTCAATGGTTTAGAAATGTTTGTTAAGATGTTGTTGTTGAAAATAATGAGTTTGTGTGATGTTAGAAGCTAAAGGTTCATCTCGGTGGTTATCTGACGTTATGATGAATGTTATACTCCACGTAAATGTGGACATTAAAAACAAACTTTGTGTAGTAATTATCCTGAACCTGATGTGCTGTGTAGGTTATAGAGGATGACAGTAAAGTTACATGGTTGATGTAGTGTCTTAAGATTTGTGCAAACTGTTAACAAATTTAAAAAAAAACTATATTAATAACCATATTAATTTTCAGTGAACTCATACACAGAATATAGCAGTAGAAATATAAAATATAAATAACATATGGAATGAAAATAAGATATAAAGCACATAGATATAAAGTATAAGAAATAGTTTGAAGAGTACAGCCATGTACTGAGCTCATGTTAATAATAAATGAGTTACTGTATGTTCTGTACTAAAGCACAGAGAGTTGGGACCTGTTAATGATTTAAAAAATTCAGATTATATTTGTTTCATGTTAAGATGAAGTACTATCCACAATAAACTGCTTAATTTTTCCTCACACAAAATCTGAGACAATCTGATGTGGAATATCATTGTGTGAGTGAGAGAGCTGAAAACAGCATGATTACAATAATGTTTATCTTCTTAACTTTGAATAGATGTTGATTACCTGAATACTGTACCTTTGTTGTCTGGGTAGTACACTGTTGAATTTATAAATGTGCTCTTACACACAGATGAATACCGAAAAATAGATGAGAACAAAAAAAAATGATTTAATGAATAACTGATTTTTTCTCTCTTTCTTTGCCATCCTGAAGACCCTCACTAAAAGTCCATGTTCTCCTGGATCCATGTCACATGCTCGAGCTTCTTCTGAATGACTTTTCAACAGTCGAAGTTCTGCTGAGAGAAGATGGCCAGCAGATAAGACAGCAGTACATCAACGAGCTCCACAGGCTTCAGAAGGAGGAGGAGGGTTTGCACCTTAGAAGACTGTATTCATGCTGTTCAAATAAAAATAGATCTCCTCCAAACAACTTGCAATCAAACCATTTTCTTCCCATTTTAAAACCCTTTGTCCAGTTTAGATGGGAGAAGTTGATATTATGTGATATTGATCTGGGAAGACTACATTTCTAAATCATTTTTAACTGTGTTTTTATTCACAAGTTATTGATCTTATTTACTCTCCATGTATCTTGATTTAAGAGTGGGGCTGTGTTTAAGGGCATATTTTTGTAATGACTCTGTTCCATCCCATTTTAAGAAATGAACTACATTAGTATTTATCAAAAGAATAAAAAGTTGTGTAAAAGTAGACTTCCTTCCCTTAGCTATTGAGTTGAGCATTAATGCACATTTTAGTCTTGTCCTTTTAAAATCTGAAATGTATACTCATAAGTAGACATAAAGGAGTGCATTTATATAGAAATATTTATTTAATCTGAAAAACAACATTAAAAAAAGTCTGTTTTCACAGCAGAGATGAACATGTTTACAGCTTGGTACAAAACAAACAAATAGGTGTGATTAGCTCATGTCTCGATGGACACACACTGTACGGGGGGTGAATGTTTTGATGACTCATCAGTTTTGATTTGATGAAGGATAAGAGTTATTCACAATAAGGCGTGTCGCTAACCAGCTTGACAGGTGGGTGTGGTGTAACAGTTTGTCAAGAGGCTTAAAACCCGTCTCAGCTCTCAGTCTGTGGGTGACATCACTCAGGCCATCCGGGGGAGACCTCCCTCACAGCGAGCTGTTGAAGAGAAGCAACCGAAGTCCACCCCAGAAGAACCAACAAATACAGATGTTGTTGAAGCTCAGGTTTCTTCCTCTGTCTCTGCACCTCGACGGACCAGTCACCAATAATCCACACTGTGTCTATAAGAGAAATACAAAGGTGTTCAATTAATGCCTCAGACAAGACAAAATGTACAGTTAACTACATGTGACAGCTCAGGGTGTTTTTTTGTTATGAGCCACATCGGCAGGAATAATATTGAACAAGGTAGCTGCAACTCATCATAATAGATGCCAGTCTTAAACACTATTTTTTCTAATACTTAAAGTTTTTGGTGTGAAGCTGACACTGTCCACAGACTCCATGACTTCACGGGGTTCAATAGAAAACAAATGTCTTATAATAAATACTAAATAATTATTTGTTCAATTGTCATGTTCACCTCATCGCTGTTGACATCAGTAAATATAAAACACAGACATTCCTCTTTTTGTCAGAACAGTAACATGAACTGTATGCTTTGTAATATTCATTTCTTCTGGATGTCTCATATTATTTACAGTTTATGGATAAAACTTTGTTAATGTATTGCTCTGCTAACACTGACAAAGTCTAACTTCTCTGACAAATAACTAATAACCATGATTGTATATTTAAAAAAGTGTAGTTTTAAGACTTTAATTAAATATTTGGGTTGAATATAATTAGTTTTAACTGTGTTGTAGAAAAGTTAAATGTTAACTTACTTAGCTATGCTGTCAAGTGGACCGCTAACGTCGAGCTGAATGGGCGGAGCTAAGTCCCGCCGGTCCCGCCTTACTGCTGTCGTTAGGTTGATCCGAAGTTAGGTTGAAACTGCAAATCCAATATGGATGCGGCCGTCGATTGGACTCATTTTCTGCCTATGTAACAGACGGGTCAGGGTTCGTCCAGTAATATTTACAGTCTATGGATAAAACAAATCTACCTCCTTTCGAAACAGCCACACCCTGCCGCCTCTGGAAATAACAATCACCCATAAAATAGAAATAATGGATAAAGAAAATATACGGATAAATATTGATGAATGTAGAATTTAAAATTATTGTTTGCCAAGGGACACAGCTATTAACCCTGCATTTAGGGCCTGCATTATAAATCTTAGACAAACTCATCCGACTAATAAATAACTTGGTTTTAAATTTCATATGGAAAAACAAACGTCACTATATAAATAATCTATATCAGAAGAGCTGACAGGGTTAAACGTGTGGAGGAGGTTGGTCTGCATGTCATGAATATGATATGGATGCCGTCTTGATTTTTTGTTAGATGTGACTATAATTTGCACAAATTACATGTGAAACTCTCAGATTCTCACCAGCAAGTTATCCTTTATTGGAACTTAATATGGAAACAGAACTTTTACTCCACACAATACTCCTCTGTGGAACAAAATATATATTTAGAGCACAGGGGCAAATGGTAAATAGACTTGAGCTTGTAGAGCGCTTTTCTAGTTTTCTGGCTATTCAAATTGCTTTTACACCGCAGGTCACACTTACACATTCACACACTGATGGTAGAGGCTGCTATTGTGAAGTGACCATCAGAAGTAACTAATTCGACGAAGCAGCGGGAGCAATTCGGGGGTTGAGTGTCTTGCCCAAGGACACGTGGACATTTTGCTCCAGGTACTGGGGATCAAACCCTCTGGTTGAGAGACGACAACTCTACCACGCCTGGGTGTGTCCAGAAATGTTTTAATTGGGGTGGCCATCTGGCACTGACTAATGCAGGGGTGGCATGACGTTTGTCGACACACACACACAAATCAATTCAATTGTTTTACCCTTTCTATTGACACAAATGATATGCACAATTTGGCAAGATTTAAATCTTCTTAGCTTGAATATTGATGGACTCAAAAACAAAGACAAATTATGCAAATTCACAAATTTAAGTAGAGAAACTTTCATGCAAACTTACTGTGTCATGCAAAAAAATACATTTATTGGTAATAAAGTCCATTGCAGTCTTTATTTTATTTTTTTAAGGAAAAAGTATAACAAAGAATGAACTGCTCCACAGACATGTTTAGATGAAATTATTTTTAACACGAGGAAGGGTCTGCAGGACTTTTTTCAACAGCAGCTGATCTCCTGCATCTGTGCGCCCCTGTTTGAACAGAGAAAAGGGAAATGTTTCAAGACATTACTTACCTGAATGTTACACTGTAAATATTAAATAAAACATCAAAAATGTAACTTCAACAGCTGTTCTATACAGATATTATGTACACAAGTTTTATCTTTTTTTGAATCAGGTTCTCTCATTTCATTTTAAGTGTGTATCTCTCCTCACTTTGATGTTTATTCTCAGTCTTTATTGTCTGCACCATCAGGAAAGGACACTTTGACTGCTACTGCCAATCCAGCTGATCTAATACTTCATCTTTCTGAACGTGGCACACAGCTTTCATCTCATGCATGTGTACACGTTTACCTTGTCTCCTGGTTCATACCTTTTCTTTTTTCATCTCGCTGATCAAAGCCTTGATGCCCAGAAAAGCAAGTCCGACGCTGACAAGGAGCTGCAGCACAGCCAGGACGATCATCGTGGTGTCCATGGACGTCAGCACAGTCTGAAGGATCAGAAATCAATGAATAAATATAATTTAATTAATTAATAAAAAACTTAATAAAAATGCATTATTTGAACAACTTTAATGCTTGCATTTTTGTACAGAGATGCAAACAGATAGTGGACTCTAGTCAGGCCATAAACTGCATGACAGCAGCAAAGGGAAAATAAGAACATTTACTCAAGTACAAGTTTTAAGTACTAGTAATAAACGTCATTTGTTCCAGTGCATGCTACTTTGTATTCCTACTCATATTACCTTAAATGATTAATATGTGTATGAGAATGTATAAAAACGTCCATAAAACCAAAATAAAACTCATCATCAGTCTACTGGGTCATCATTAGAGTTCAGAAGTTTGATGGCCTGAGTTATAAAACACATTTTTCAGCCTGTTGACCTTTGCTTCTGTATCTCGTGCCTGAGAGAAGAAGCTCAAACTCACCAAACAGAGGATGTGGAGGACAATAAGACATCTTGAGCCTCAGCTGCAGCTCTCTTACTGAAGCTCAGGTCATAGTTTCAGTATGTCTAGCTATTTTTAGAATTATTAAAAATGAAGAAGGTCCAAATATAAACAATCAGTGCATACATTAAGAAATAAAATTGAAAAAAGGTGTATTCATAAATGAAAAGTAACAATTATAACGGTGCGCCGCACAGGTAGGCTAGTTGCACGTCACATGTACAGAGACTGCTGTCCTCGAAGTGGGCGACCCGAAACTGACCTGAGGCACCTTTTCAGCATGTCATTACCCTCTCTCTCTCACCCTCAATTCCAACTCTATCCACAGAAAGCACAAACATAAAAGTCACAATAACATATAATAATATGACAGAATTCCTTTATTTTATTCCTGATTTTATTGACTTTATGTCCCCTCACCTAGTGATTATTATCAATGCAGAACATTTACCTGTAATAAAATATTTTTAAGCAGCATGCTTGCCTGAGCACGGAGCGCCACATTCCTGCAGTTGTCTTCATGAAAATGATGAGCAGCGATTCTTCTGCGATCACACATCCAGAGGAAGGAGGCGCCCCTCAGGTCTATGGCGTACAGCACGATGCCGGTGATGGCAAAGATGGCTGCAGCAATGTTCATGAACACAGTGAAGCCCACCTGAGAGGAGAGGTGCCTTCAGTTAGAAGTCAAAGTCAAGCAGTAGTTTAAAAGTGCTTTGGGCTATTTTTTTTAGCAAATCATCACATTCTGGTTTTATTTACATTCTACACACTGTCCCAACCTTTTCAGGAAAATGGGTTGTAATAAGTGCTCAACAACAGCTCTTGTTGTTGTTGTTACTTACCAAGACACGAGAAGGGAAACGTCCGGCCAAAATGGACATGATTCCAGTTACAATAAACTAAAGAGAGATCACATTAGTGTCAATCAAGCAGCAGAAACCGAGTTAATCGGAAATATCAGAGGAATTTGTATCCTAAAACAATCCTGCTTTTTTTGTGCTTACAGTTATGCCACAGAGACGTCAAAAAGCTCCAGCAACACTTGTTGTATTAAGATCAATGAAGAACTTTATTAGACTGATAAGTTTCGGCTTGTGGCCTCCATCAGGTCACTCTCCATCCACCTTGGTAGATGGTGATGTTGTGCCAGAACACCTTACTCTGCTTCTCAAATTATGTCACTTAAAGGGGACATATTATGACAAATCCACTTTTACAAATTTTTTGAACATATATTTGGGTAACCTGAGTGTCTTCAGACCCACAAGATGTAAAATAAACCCATCCAGTCCTTTGTTTGAGGTCTGCATAAGTCTTACAACACAGAGAAAAATGCTCTGTTTACAATTTCCTCTCCTTGTGATGTCACAGTGGGTTTCTGGTAAAAAAAAAAAAAAAAAATGACCCTCCCCTCCTGTGTTGTGTCAGGCAGCCATTTTTTTCGAGTTGCCTGACGAGTTGCCATGGAAGCTCAGAGCTGAACTCGTCTGCACATCCCGCGAAAGAGAGGGGCGGGATGAGGGGGAAGTCATTGCATTTAAAGAGACACACACACAAAAACGGAGCGTTCTGAGAGAGCTGGTTTATACAGGGTCACAAACCTCCTCTGGTGCTTGATTCATGTTATATTTTGACCAAAGCACAGCACAGATGTTTCATTTAACCCACAGGAGACTGTTTGAAAAGGTGGAAAGGGGGATAATATGTCCTCTTTAAGGAATCACACACTATTCGGTTAAAGAACGGATAAATATGTAACATAACACAACTAGGCTATTAAGCATGAAAAATTATAGAAACATGTTCTCTTGGTAACGTTAAATAAAGCCAAAATATAATTATTACCACACCACCCAGCCAGTAAGCCGCTCCCAAACTGGCCAAATCTCCAGGAACTGTGCTCGTTCGCCCCGGACCGAGTCCAATGTTGAACACGCCTACCATGATCTGCAAAGTCTGTAAGAGATTCATACCAACACAATATCATCGTGTGACACTAAAAGCTCATTTAAGCTGTATCCGGATATATTTATGTCAATTCTTCTTACCCCAATAGCTGCGGTCAAACAAGACTGCAGCATTAACCTCTGGCGCACAGAACAGGAAGCCTTAAGGTGAGATAACATGCTCTGACTGAGATCCATCACGCACACACCTGAAAGTAAGTTATTCTAGTGATGAGCTCAGCGTTGTCCAGGACTATCCACTTGGAAAATTGTTCTTTTTATTTGAGGTTGAAGCTCAGAAGTCAGTTATTTTGTTGTGCAGGTGTGTGTGTATGGAGGGTGTATTTTTAGAGTGGATCAGTGTATGAATGTGTTCACTTCTTAGCACCTGGTAAAGTCAACAGAAAGTCTCTGGCTCCGTTAAACAATCCTATCATATCCAAATATGCAGATGTATTACAGTATGTGAGTGCTTTAAGGCAGTAAGAGTGCACTTATTGTTCCTCTTCTTAAAAGGTTTTTACTGATTAACTTTAAACTATGCTGCAGAGGCTTTTACTGACAATGTGAAATCATTGTTTGTTTGTCCGGTATAACTGACATGAGACGTTTTTGAGGCACACTTAGGCTACATGCATTACAACCTTTTAATGAATCTACTGACTCTTACAACAAAGATGTACAAAAAACATTACGATTCTTTAACTGCAAGGTAAGTTATGGTTTGGTTTTAAGGGCAATCTTGTGTTTTTCCTCCTTACCACTTTGTCGAATTACCCAAAAACCCACCTCGCTCTCTCTTCCAGAACATAGAAAAATAATTATTTTGTTACATTTGGGCAAACTTTACCATTAAAAAGCCATCAAATAACACCCAGTTCAGAGCCCACATAACAAGCTGTCTCTGTTAAATTGTGTGCGTGACATGCAGTGAGCTCACCTGTTGATGTTTCGATCTTCTTGTTCCTCCACCAGCAGCCTCAGTTTATCTGCAGCCACAAAAATGTCCACTCCCATTAGGCCTACACTTCTTACTTTTCCTTTCAGAATAATAGTTTTACATCCACAAATAGCCACATTAATAATCTGTGCTGGATGAAGCAGTCAGAAATAAGTAAAGGAAGCTGAATAATAGATTACAGGACGTTAAAGTCAAACTTGTAGCATCAAAAATAACTTTTGTTGTTTTGTTGTCCCCTACATCCACCGCCATCCTCATTCATGCACAGCCTGCTCCGACCTCCACCTCAGCAGCAAGGAAGTGTGGCCAACAGGAACGAAAGGAATACAAAGGAGGAATCCTTCCTGCATATTATCCCATCTTCCCCTATGCCCATATTCTTTAGTAACATAACAGTGAGTAAGGTCTTCAACCTGCTTTTCGTAAAGTGTCTCGATAACATTTGCCATGAATTGGCGCTGTACAAATAATGATTGATTAATTGATTGATGGACTTACTCAATCAGCATGTTGACTCCAAATGAAATAAGAAGAGGAAAGTCAGGTCAAGGGTCAGTAGAGGTGTTTAATTTTGAATTTTTTCTTTTTATTGAGCAGCTTTTCAAAATGAATGATCATTCATGCGTTATATGCATTTAATCTATAGCTGAAATAACATGTTACATAAAAATGATGACTTTATCTTGTTAGATATTTTGTTAAATTCCCCATGAAATTGAATTGCAAGAGTATCTAACGGGATGAATCAATCACAAGATAGAAGGCGGGACATAACATCTGGATGAATTTGATTGGATCGTTAGCTACAAAAAAAGCTTTATAGTTGTTTGAATGTTAGTACTGTAGGTCAGTAGTCATCAGACAGTGGAAATGTTTACAGGAAGAGAAAACAACTGTTTTATTGTGAAATTGGTTATTTTCTTAACACACACAAATGTAAGGATTCAAACAGCAGGAATGTGAAAGGGCATGATTATTTCAGTGTTCAAATAAGAGAGATCACAAACAGCAGCATTGCAGGAAACGTTTTCAGCAAGATGAAGTTTAAAAAGTCCTGGTGTGATTGTGCAATACACGAGGACATTCACAGACAGACGTCACAGCATGAGAATAAAAAGTATCATGGTCTGTGAATGAAATATTTACTCCGAACAAAAATAAGTCCTTCCAATGAAAACCAAACCCACATCCAAAACATACCCGTTAACAATTTGATCTAATACCCATAAACACTGTAAAATAAAATATTCAAACATGAATCTAATATTTACAGATATTTTTTTAAGCAGCCCTCAAAGGAAATTAAGTTCAATGTCACACTGCATGACATTAAATGTCTAAATGCATTTGGTTAACATTTAGTTATATGGCACAAAGCTGAGATTGTCATTAGACTGTAGGATTACTAAGGAGCTCCTCCAGCAGTTGTTTGTGTTCTGGGTCTTCAGGGCTCTAAAAGAGAAACATTCATATCAATAAATACTTTTAAATTCACTTTTCAGGTAACACTTTTCTCAAGACAATGAAATGTACAAAAAGGCGGTCAACTGCAAAATGCGTCACTCTGTGAAAGATTTGTTGGGGAGGAAGATGGTCGCCTTTTCCAATTTTTAAAAGGAATAGATGACTTGGACTCATACCCGAACACTTGGGACTTGAGACTCAACTTGTATTTAAACTTGAACACTTGAGACTCAACTGGACTCACAATCAAACACTGGGTTTCATGTCAACTATTAGAAAGGTGACATCAGAAAAAGTTTCAAAAATAAAGACCAGAGGCTCATGACATAAACATTTAGTGAAGAAATGGGGGTAAAAAGGGATATTACAGCATTTTTTTGTGAGTGAGTCTTCCCCCGTGCAGAATAAAGGTTTAGCAGTAAAACATGATTTCTGAAGACTCTACCTTGTTGTCCGTCTTCTCACGGCTCCTCAGAGCCTTGATCCCCAAGAGAGCAGAGCTGATGACTGTGCATAACTCCAGGAGAGACAGGACAATCAGAACAGCATTGATGCTTCTCAAAATCATCTGGGGGGACAAAAAACAAACAGTGTTAACTTGAAAATCAGTAAAAAAAAAAAATATATATATATTCTAATTAGATTGAATATAATGTGTCGAGAATTCTTTTTGTTGATACAAACAAATTATAAACTCAATAAATAACTCAGTCTTGATAGCTTGATAGAAGGATCCGGCTTTCATGAAAAACACTTGTAAACAGTAAAGGGCATACCTTACAGCTTCAGTGTGAACATGAAGATATGAAAGGAAGAACATTTGACATTTTGCTCAAAGGCATGAAGTACTTACCAGAGACACTGCTTGGCCCTCCAAGCATTTCTCAATCATCAACTTCTGCTCTGGAGACGGAGTTGGTCTGTTGTATTGTCTGTTATAATAGTAATTGTTGTAATAATCAGGCTCACAATCCTCCCATATCCTCAAGAGGATAATGTTTATGGTGTAGAGTACGATGCCGGTGATGGCAAATGCAACTCCTGTTAGATTCAGAATCACGTTAAGGAGGACCTGCGGGGGGAGGGGGGGAAACAAACATAAATAAATTAAAACCACAAACTAGAATAAGAGTGATCAAAATGTGAGATAACATGCAGCTTGTTAAAGTGGAACTACTCACCAGACATGGACTGGGGCACCTCTCAGACAGGATGCACATAGCACCAAATAAAATGAACTTTAAAAAATAAATAAAAAAAGATTCAGGCTTCTGCTCTTCCACACCAACAATGTAATTCACAAACACATTTGAGATTGAAATCATGAAGCCTTGCTGAGTATATGAGGGTTTAAAGCTTATTTAAAGATTGGTAATAATGATAATTGTATCAGGTATCAGGTATAGGTAATTAATCCACTCTGAAACATTTGCAAAATTGGGTTGCTTACCAATCCACCTAACCAAAAGTGATACATGGTAGAATCAAGAGCCCACCAAGGGGAACTGTGACTGATGAAGACGATCGCTCCGAGGCCGATGGTGAGCAGCCCAGTCATAATTTGCACAGCCTGTAAAGACGGAAACACAGAATTAACAACAGCATGGGCAAGAATGACCTGTACCTGTACCTTGACATGTAACTGTACCCGTACCCACACCTGTACCTGTACCTATAACTGTAACTGTACCTGTTTGTAAACCTGATCTAAATAGATATTTTCTATATAAACAGATCATTACCAAAACGCAGGTGTATTAACATTAAAAGGATACTTCACCCATTTGCATTAAGCTTTGTATCATTAGAAAACTGGTAGCGTTTTTGAATGGTCGTGCATCCCGCCCTCATTTTACCCTGCGCTAACAGGCTCTATGGAGAAAGCTGATAATGGCGAAAAAAGTATGTTTCAACTTCAAACTGATATGGATGAAGGGGATTTTGCGGCTGCAGTTGCTGCTGCGGCTGCTGTTATGAGGACAAGGAGCCTGGGTGGCTCGAGCTGGGGTGGACTGGTAGTGTCAGTGCTCTCACTGTTTGCCTATGGACACAGACATGGAGTTTGTTTTCTGCCAGGAATTTCGAAGATGCCAATTCCATCTGGAAGAAATCTCGGAATCAGTTGAGGAAACGGCCTTATCTGTTGTTGTAAATGTCTGTCAATAGAGGACCCTAGATCAGTGGGATTGGCCTGCGTTGCTGTGCATTCTGGGAGTTGGTGTCTTTCATCCACATGAGCCAAAAATACACTTTCTGCCTTTTCTCAACCAAGAAGGCACCAACTTCAAAATGTATTTAACATTTCTACTACATGTATGACCCAATGTCAATACAGATTCCTGTTTCAACAGTTGAAGTATGTTAAGTTAAGTTGTAACTTACCCCCAGCAGTGACTGAGTAGCTCCATTGATCCTCCTCAAGTGCTGAGACCCCGTGCAGCACACGGGGCTGTAGCAGAGGCCTTTGAGGATTTGGCATATTGGGGGACAAGCACTTTGGGGGTCCGCAGTCAAAGTGAGCACGGTGACCCCGTCAGCCCTGGTCAAAGTCACAGACATCTCGCACACTCCTGAGGACTAAAAGAGACAAGAGAGAAAACTTTTATCATTCAAATGCGAAAACTATTTGTTAATCTCACACCACTGGAGCTTTTTCACATTGGGTCTGGGAAAAACAGATGCAATGAGGAAGTTGGACCCAAATAGCTTGAGCAGGCTGCAGCCAATGAGAGGAGAGGAAGTCAAGCACCATTTTGATTAAACATTTTTAACACCCCACTCTTTGGTGATTTTTTTTATCCCTCTGTTATTTCCTTCTTTATGTATTTGAAACTTACACTTTTGAGAATCTGCCAAGAACATTAGCCCTCTGCAAGGTCATATTTTAAAGAGGTGGTTATGAAGCAGACTCAAACTAATAAAGACGTTTCTATGTGACCTATAAGCAGGTAACCAGGAAGAAGACTATTTCAATACAGTTGTTATTGAATGCATCTGAGCTGCTGTAGGGTCAGTCGACAAAGCCGTTTAGAGCTCACTGAGTGGTACATCACAAAGTTTAAATGTAGCAGGAGGAGATTTTTTACAAGCGATGCTCCACAAACAGGAACGATGTGTCATTCTGTGGGGGCGGCTCAGATCAAAACAATAAAAGAAAGTTCCTCACAGTTGCTTACAAAAACAGTGAGAGCACTGAATGAGTTAAATGGATCAGTTAAGAACCATGAACACACACAAGTTAACCAAGCTACGCTTCTTTCCGTGTATTTTATCAAACAAAGACAGAACACTTACCTGTTTGTGTCAAGAAGGAAACCAAAACAATTCAGTTCTGACCTGACCTAACCTGACAAAAAACTCTGTCAGCATAGAGGAGGCGACGATAAAGTCCCAACTAGTTCCTGGCAGTACCTCCCTCCATGTATGAGCTGGAGAGAAACTTGACACTGAACACAAAGAAAGTTGAGAGCGCTCTGCTTTGATTTGATCTACTAGCTGTTTTAACAACTTAAATGGAAAGAAAAACTTGCAGCGACATGCATGACATGACTTTAAGTTAAACAATCACAACTTCAAAACCCCAACCTCTCTGAGCATTATTTTAAAAGTTTGTTTTTCACTTGAATGTTCAATTAATTTTCCTGTATAGTTATCTCACTATTTGATTATCTAAATGCGATTTCCAGAACTTCTTGTTCTTGCTGGACTATTTTACATGTTCAGGATCCCTTCATTTATCATCTTTTCATGTAGCTAAAATAGTGAAATCTGGGGAGTCTGGTGGCTCAGATAGCATAACATGTGACAGCATAATATAGAGTGTTCGACTCTGGCCCTCTGCTCTTTGGTGCATGTTATCTCCGCTCTCTCTCTTCCCTGTATATCCTGATATCTGCAGCTGTCTGGAAGGCAAAATCCCAGAGAAAATACCCCACAAAAACAAATATTACAACAGCTAAATGTTGGTTAAAAACAAATAGATCATGTACTTATATACAATATGGTAAATGGAGCTTTTACACCACAGGTAACATAAAACCACATTATTATTTAACAAAGTGTTTCTCAAAGTGGGGTTCCAACCCACTGGGGGTCACAAAAGGGCGTTAGGGAAATGGAACAAAAATACAAATCAACTAAAAACATTATTTGTGACAATAACATTTGTACATATGTCTTACTTGATGTGACAAATCACTGCATTTCCAAATCTGTGCCCTTTTCTTATTTAACACACACACCAAAAGATATATTACATGTAATGAATGATATTTAAAATACATGTTTACTGTTAATATAACTGTTTTATTATTGTTTAGACAGAAATGATAAGCCACTGTTTACAAAAACAAACATTTGAATATAATGAATGATTAACATGATAATGAATTGTTAGTGACTCTAATCATTTGAATGATTAGAATTGATGGGTGCCCCGTGCACCATCAATTCAATTAATGCATCCACTTCTGGTCGACTTCACTCTCAACAAAAGGTGAATACAACAGGAATCTAACAAAGTAAATATACACAAAGAGTTAGATTTGAAATACTGCAGATTATGTAACAAAACCAGAACAAAGTAAGGTGTAAGGTCCATTTTCCACTCATGCTGTGGTTTTCTTTGTTCTCTGTAGCAGGTCAGGCTTGGTTTGGAGAGAAAGATGAAGTCGTAGGCCTGAAAGCGGGTATCGAATTCGATACTTTTTTGGCAAGGATCGAATTGCTTCCTCTTGGTCTGGTCTGTATCGAAAAATGGCCTTTCATTCGATACCTATCATACCTACCATCAGCGTCAGTGAGCCAATAAGCATGCAGCGTGTCTGTTGTTGTGTTTTGAGAGGCTTGACTACAGTTTGCATCGTGCAAGTTTAGAAAAATATCAACGCGATCAAAACAGACAGTGTTGAAACAGACAACTTTAGTTAAACCACATTATGGTAAAATGGTTTATTTTCTCATGTTATGAAACTGCTTTGAATGTTTTAAAATGACATGGAGCTGAAACATAAAACCAATGATTTGTATCATAATGTGTAATGTAATGTTTTTTGTTAAAATGGATTTCATAAAATTGGTATCGAAAAAAGTATCGTTTAGGAATCGGTATCGAAGTCAAGGTATAGGTTTCGATATCGAATCTTTTTGAACAATACCCAGCCCTATGGGGATGTGGCTTGAATAGGTCTGTTTTCATTAGAATACATTTTTTTAAATGTGCCACCTCGTATAAATAAGCCTTTTGCAAACAAAAATGACGACATACAGTATTTTCTGTTGTATTTCAAAAGTCATGAAAAAGAGTTATGTTTACTGTGAATTAAAAAACAAATAGAAAATAAATGCGCAAATATGAACTGTTTACAGGCATCTTCGAAACAAGATCAGACATGCAAACAGAAATCCAACATTTAACAATCATGTGGATGATTTTATCTTCCAAATGAATGAATGTTTAAAAAAAGACTAATTTAAAAAAGCAGTCCATCTGTGTCACCTACATGAATGAACCACACTTCCAGCTACAAACACACTGACTATAAGGCACGTTGGCTGATCTATAAATCTGTATAAAAACGATAACTTAACGATAAGTCCAAGGGAATGAAATGGAGAGCAGTGTATTCAGAATGATAAGGTGCATATCATTTAAAAACGATCTCAAATATAAGTGCAAATATTTAAGGAAGCTGTGTAAGAACAGACTGATATTACATTATTTGATGTTAACGGTATAAAAGCTCAGGAGTATATTTGAGTACCTTGTAATTAAAAGCACAAAGTCGAGACTTTCATTAGACCGTAGGGTTCCTGGTAACGTCCGCCTCCTGCAGTCGTCTGTAGTGTTCTGAGTCGTCAGGGCTCTGAAAGAGAACACATAAAATCACAGTCATGGATCATTTATGTCATCTTAGTTTGAAATATATATTTTTCTACAATATAAATGAATAAAGCAGAGGAGCTCAACTCTTTAAGAAGAGCATGTATTCTCTCAGTGCACTTTTTTATTTGAATTCAGGAACATCTTGAGTAGTAGCTCAACTGGTGATGTGTGCACAAAGACACACAAACAAATATTAATTATATACCCTTTCTATCTTCAACAATCAACATAGGCTTCATTTTTTTATGACCCAAAGTTAATAAGAGTTTGCGTTAAATCAACCTCTCATATGTCAACAGCAGGTTAAACAGTATATGATTTGTTCACTCTACCTTGTTTTCTCCTTTGTTAGTTAACTTCAGAGCCTTGATCCCCAAGACGGCAGAGCTGATGACGATGCAGAACTCAAGGACCGACAGCATGATCAGAAAGGTGAAAATGCTTCTCCAAAGGTTCTGTTGGTACACACAGATACATTACAAACAGAGTTACCATTAAAGTCTACCATCACATTCTGTTTTATTTAACAAAATGAGTAGAGTGCTTTTGTTTTTCTCCTTTTTATTTGTTTGTGTTTTTTTATATTTCTGATTGAACAAACTATTATGGAAGCAATCACACTCAACTCTTTTTTTTAATATCATCTCTTTTGCCAGTGTATTGCTCACACTGTACAGCATGCTTCATTTTCTTTCTTATGTTTAAACTGTGATGTCATCAGGTCAGAAAAAGGGTGCATGTGACAATAAACAACTTGAACTTGAGCTGACGGCCTCTGAGCAGGCCTGCAGTCAATGAGGAAAGAAAAAAGTCAAGAAAGCAATTTGGATTTCACATGGGTGTTACTGATTATAAATGATTTAATATATCGCCCAACCCTTGGGAAACAAGGGGCGTGTCTAGAAGGGTGCCACCCCAAAAATAATAAACTATAATTTGCTGTCTGCCTCGTTCGGGGCTGGACATTTGTCAACACAACGGTTCTGGGTTTTTTGTTTTTTTTTGCCACATGCAGCAAGTTGTTATTGTCAATGTAAATGTACTATATTATTTATGTATTTTACATTTTAAATAAATACCATGCATATAGATTTGATAGGACAGGTGCATAACACTGTATTTTAATGAATTAACAAGCATTTTATTTGGGACTGAAACTTTGAATAGTGTATTTGCAAGTTTGACAATTTGACATTGAACATCTTTGTTCTAGATACCTTAAAAAAGGCAAAGAAGATGTAAGTTTCAGCTCTTGTGTTACATAAAAGTAGATGAAATTAGTGGTGTCAGAAGGTGTAAATAAATGACATTCTTCTGGACACAACACTTCAGGCCCCCCCCCCTGCGTAAGTCAATTCCCCAGTTGGGACACCCCAGTCAGAAAGTTCTGGACATGCCCCTGAACAGAGCAGTAATTGCTATCAAGGGCAACTTTTATGACAAATGTTTTTTGCTTTTTTTTAACTGTATTATGAAACACTCACCACAATCATAATTTCTGCCTCGTAGCATTTTTCTGTCAGGATCTTCTCCAGAGGAGTCACTGTATGATCTAAGTCATACGCATAATATGCGTCACAAAGCCACTGCATATCAACGAAAACCATACTGAGGCTGTAGAGAATAATGGCTGCGATGGCAAAACCAACTCCTGATAGATTCAGAATCACAGTGAGGATGACCTAAAATATAAACAGCAGGTGTCATTTCATGCACAATAAGCAGAAAATCAAAAGTACAATAAGAGTGACTTAAAATGAAAGATCAAAAGAAGATGTTAATACAGTAAGCTTCTCACCAGCCACGGTCTTGGGCACTTCTCAGACAAGATGCACATGGCACCAAAGAAAATGAACTAAAGAAGAGACAAAAACTTTAATATTACTTCACTCAAACACTTAAAAATCCATTTACAGCTCTCATTTAAATAATCACCATCATGAGCAATTTACGACTTGAAAATCTGAAATGGCTTGTAAAGCGCTTTTCTAGTCCTCTGACTACTCAAAGCGCTTTTACACCGCATGTCACAGCTACAAATTCACACACTGATGGTAGAGGCTGCTGTGCAAAGTGTCCATCAGTATTAACTAATCCCATTCATACGCTGCTGCTTCGTGTAAGTGTCTTGCCCAGGGACACATGATCAGACGTGTGGCCGGAGGAGAACCCCCGCACTTCCGGTTGAGAGACGGCCGACGCTAACAGTGAGCCACAGCCACCCCTTTGCAGCTACCACACAGACGGATAATTTGTCCCAGAAGCCATTTCTTGAGCTCCAGAATTTCGTTAGAAAATACTAGTGAAGTGACTTGCAGCTTCTTAATCAAAAGTCTGTGGGAAAACCCTGTACTATTACTGACAATGTGCAGCAGGACTTAAAGTCCATTTTGTAGGTGTGTTTTACTGTTGCAGGAAGTTTAACTTGACACGTGACTGGCATCATATCTCTGCTCTGTGTGTGAAAGATAAACACGGCTCAATGTGTAATTATGTGTTAATTGGTGTGGACTGCTCAGGTTGCTTCAAGTGCATTTATCCTGACTACCGTACAGAGAAACTCTTTTAACTTGATCCCCATCGATGAGAGCATTGAAACGTCATTTCCCGTTCACCAGAGCAACCACACCTCCATTTGGGTGGAAACAAGCCTTAAGAATGTATTGGCAGTAGACAAAAAATAATACATTCATAAAATGCATTGAACATTATATTAGCTAGCTTACCATGCCTCCTAACCAAAAAGGAAAGAGGTAGTTAAACTTTAGCCAGGAAGGGGCGTTGCCAGTGATGATGGCTCCAAGACCAATGTTCAGCAAGCCAATCATAATTTGCAGAGCCTGTAGAGGAGAAAACACAGTATGAGGAACACTACAAATAAACAATACCTGTTTTGTGTTTTCTCAATACTCAAATCAGAACTGAGTGGTGACAGAACATGTGAAAAGTAAATAAATACAAAGTGTGGCGCACAGAAAATCAAAAGCTGAGAGTAATAGGACATCTTAAAACAAACAGGTTGGAACTCACCCCCAGGAGTGACTGAGAAGATCCCTGGACCCTCTTCAGGTGCTTAGATAAGTCGCAACATGGGGGGCCGTAGCAACGGCACTTAAGAATTTGGCAAAATTGGGGACAAAGACTTTGGGGGTCTGAGGTTATGGTGATCACAGTGACCCCATTAGCCTTGGTCTTGGTGAGAGACATCCTGCCCTCTCCTATGAGACAGAATAAAAAGAGGAAAGGAAACTGTCTATTAGCATGGTCAGGAGGACATACAGCTATTTATATTCATATCTTTTTTGTTATTATGTAGATGCTCTGCTTCTGCCTGCCTTTCTTTATCTCTCTTTATTTTGTTTGCTTCTTCCTCCTTGTCTCAATATGTTGTTGTGGAATCGAGCGCATGTGATCAGTTAGTGTACGTCTTGTCTATTAGTTTGTAGCCTGTGCGCTACGTATATGCCTTAACCACCTCCAGGGACAGTGGGCGTCCCCAGACTGTTGAACCCATATTTTGGGGGACACGAGCTGAAAAGTTTGGGACCCCCTTCTCTACCACACCTGAAAGAGATGTTATGGTTTTTTTTAAACTTTCTATAGTTTTTTTTACTTTTCACCAACAAAATAACAGATTTTATATCGTTCAAACACATAAAAAGAACATTTAAGAACTATTAGACCATTGCACATTTTGGCAATGTTGCTGCATTGATGGAGTTATTCATGCAAAATAAACCTCGACCAATTATGTGTGCGAATGAAGAAGATCGACATTTCTGCATTGTACCTTTTTCTTTATCGGTCTGATGTATTATTCTCGTATTCTGAGGTACTGGAGTTTTGATTTTCATGAGCTGTAAGTCCTTATCATCAAGATTAAAAAAAAAAAAAAAAAGTCTTGAAATATTTCACCTTTAGTGTAATGAATCTGGAAAACATGAAAGCTTCACTTTTTCTATTTGATTACAGAAAGACTTCTTCCAAGAAATTCAGATTCTTAGGCTCCCTGTATGTGTTTGTTGGCAGCTTAAATCGTAAATAAAATAGTTTTGTTTTTTTTACTTTCATGCATATTCTTTTCAATGTTACAAACTTTTACACACTGTCAATAAACAATGAGGTCCAGCATACTTACATATTTTCCATTAGGCGTACACTTTAAAATACAAAACAACTTCGTTTAAATAACTGTACAAGAGTTGCATAAATAGCTGAATATAGTAACATAAATATAACCTTTGACATTTCCATCTTAAAGAAAAGCCTTGATCCAGTTAAACTGTGCTAAACAAGGAAAGAACCCGTTTAAAAACATTCAGAATACATGCGCAATAGCGTTGTACACGTTTTTTTGCAAAACCTACCAGGAGGATTATCAGTCGATTTGAAGACGCAGATACACTTTAATCAGCTGAATTGTGTGAGATATATCCACGTAAACACGACGTGGGAACACCTACGCACATCTAAACTTCTTTCTTCACTGCTGGCTGTGTTGTTGCTTTGGAACCATAGACTGTAAATATTACGTTTGGAACGCTTGGAACTATGGCAACGCCCCAGTCAGCGAAAAAGACTGTATGCTCATTCAGCATGACTGTGCTCGGTGCCGCCACCAGTGGTCGATGGCTATATTGCACTCGCTTACCCGTCTTGGCCTTTAAAAATGTCGAGCGATTAAAAAAAAGAAAGTGCGTAATATGACTATAGTTTGTTTTAATTGTTATTAATCAAGCGATAGAATCACACATCATCCATTGATATATCTGATTAGTCATGTAGCAGTAGGACTATAAAGTGTATCACTGCAACATCACATCTGAGGCTACTTTCCTCTGTACTGTAGGCCTACATACACAAAGAACTTTTTTAACCTACTTTTTTATTATATTTTATCCTAAGTAATCTGTACTGATTTGTATATATTTTAAAGGCGAAGTTACATTTTCAATGTTTACAGTATTTTAAGTTAAACACTAACTATTTGTGCTTCTGCATTACTGCAATCCTGAACAGCTGTTTCCTTAAACTGTAATTATTTTATTGTACTTAATTTTTGTGTTATTTATGTCGCTTTGGCAGTGTAAATATTTGATTTCCGTCACACTTAACCCTTTGATATCCTCTACATCTTTCTACATTGTACTGTATGTATCTTATAATAATGTTTGAGCGTTTTCATTGCATGGCCTTGTCGAACAGTCATTACATTTCACTGCGCACCCCTACTGTATGAGCATGTAACAAATAAAAAGCTTGAATCTTTCCATGCCAATAAATCAATTTTTAATGGAATTGAAGCTAAAACGAGCATGTCTTTGGACTGGAGTCCTGTGGTAACTGGAGTACCTGGAGGGAACCCACACATGCACAGGGAGAACGTGCAGACTCCACAGAGAGCGCTCCTGTCCAGGAACCTCCTCGCTGTCAGGCAACATCACTAACTGCACCACCATGCAGCACTCAACGCCAGCTCCTTCTTTAGAAATCGGGACCATAATATCTGATATTTCTCAACGAATGAGATTTATTAAATAAAAACTAAACATGGGACATGTTTTTATAGTGCTTCATAGACTTTTAAAAACTTTATTTTTTCCAGGCACACATTGGTGATCCACTTTTTGGTCCTGACCCACCAGTTGAGAACCAGTGCTCTAAAAGTATAAGTGCAAACATTTTTAAGCTACCCTTGTAGGAGAAGAACCTTTAATTTCAGCACAGGTTATACCAAGTGAGCGGATGATTTAACAGTAAATACAGTCAGTGGTTATGATTCATAAAAGCACAACAGGAGAGTTCCTGTCTGGTCACTAAAAGTGCAAAGCAGAGGTTTTCATTCAGGCTGCAGGGTTACTGGTGACCTCCTCCAGCAGGGGTTTGTAGAGTTGGGGGTCTTCAGGACTCTAACAGAGAAGAGAGAAGAAAGAGAAAATCATATGAAAAGGTGCAGACACAATCAAATCTGTGAGAATTTCACACATTTACAGAGTGATTACACACATTGACTGTGCATGGTAAATGGACTTGAGCTTGTATAGCACACTTTTACACTGCAGGTCACACCTACACATTCACACCCTGATGGCAGAGGCTGCTATGTAAAGTCTTCATTTGGTTTCATTTGTCCCCATTGCAATAAATACATTGAATATTAATTAGCCCTCAGGCTGCTCTTTTTGCACATCTCCACATTGCACTTTACTAACTTAGTAAAAGTTCCCATTTTGGGTTGACCTCTTGACTGATTTTACTGCAATGTTTTATATCGTTTCATATTGTGTTGTGTTGTCTGATTGTTTAACTTTCTTTTGATTTTGATTTTAGGGTGATGTTGTCCTTGTATGTGTTGTCTTCTGTGTGCTGCAAAAACAAAATTCCCCCATGTGGGACAATAAAGAATCTGAATGTGTAGACTCTACCTTGTTCTTCTCTCTCTTCTGAATGAAGCAAAGAGCCTTGATCCCCAAGACAGCAGAGCTGATGACCACACAGAACTCCAGGACGGACAGAACAATCAGCACGGCGTTGATGCTTCTCAAAAGCATCTGATGGGACACAAAAGAAACAGTGACGCGTTTAAAAGCTGTGAATATCTGTAGGAAGCTTCTGACAAACTCATTTTGAGAGTTTCTTCATAGTCATCAGTCAGATAACATTTCCCCCACACATACATACCAGAGTTATTCCTTTGACCTCCAAGCATTTAGTCTTATCAGGAGATGGAGTTGTTGAAGTGTTTGGGTCGTAATAATTATTGTAATTATTATTTTCACACATCCACCACAACCAAAACTCTGCAATGTTGATGCTGTAGAGCACGATGGCTGCAATGGAGAAAGCAACTCCTGAGAGATTCAGAATCACGTTGAGGATAACCTGTAGAAGAAAAATCTCAATGTATGAACAACCACACATGATGAATGTACAAACTCCTCCTATTTTATGATCTCTATATGAAGACAGATTAAAAGTTGGCGACTCAATGAAAGCTAACAGGAGGATTTTATAAAGCTGGTTTACTCACCAGGCAGGGACTTGGACGCTTCTCAGACACGATGCTCACGACACCAAATAAAATAAACTAAAGAGAGAAGAGACAAAAACATTTAAACTTCCATTCTTTCACACCAACTCTGACACCCATAAATCACTACTAATATCTTCTACTTTACTGTAATATTAGTCAATCCAAAGATGCAAGTGGAACACTCGAGGAAGCATGTTGTTCAGTTCAATGTTTTATATGCATTCAACTTTTAAGTCAATCATCTGAACAATCCTGGAGTCACCTTGTCCTCTGATCTTAAAGGTTCTTCTTCTCCTGCATGCTACAAATCACGTTGTCAGAATTGGACGATATGACAGTGTTCACAAGCATTCAAAAAGCTCCACAGAAGTAGTTTAGTCTTCTTGCTGATGGTCTGATTTTCTTTCATAGATCATATAGTTCTCAGTTTTAAACTGTACCAACTACTTTATTTATTTATACATTTTTAAGATTTATTTTGGGGCTTTTTGCATTTATTTGATGGAACAGTGGATAGAGTAGTAAACAGGGGGAGAGAGTCGGGAATGACATGCGGGAAAGGAGCAACAGGTCGGACCGGAACACGGGCTGCCTGCTTGGAGGACTGTCTCCTTACATGAGGCGCAGATAGCCTAGCTGTTTGGTTGCTCCCCATGTAAGGAGGATACAGATTCTTTCACCATCTGCTTTCAACAGGTTTAAGATTCAGGATTCATCTCTCAGATAGTAAAACAACTCTCCATACTTTGACCTTTACTCGAGGTTGGAGACGGGGTCGATTGACTGGCCAAAGGATGTAGTGTTTGTTTATCTCAGGCACTTGTAGCTTATAGCTAAATGCTAATGTCAGCATGCCAACACGCTCACAGTTACATTGCAAAGCAGGTCCTGTCCTGTAGGAAGAAAACCGGCAGCTGAATCTCCAACAGAGCAGCCCCAATAAAGTTACTTTAACTTTACTTTAGTTTTGTAAGGGCTTTGGGATGCACATATTTAAATACACACAAAAAAACAACAACATAAAAAACAAGTAGTGAGTTTGCTTACCAGTCCTCCCATCCAAAAGGGAAACTTGGACTCATCCATTTGCCACCAAGAGCCAGACCCAGAGCAGAGGATCGCTGCGAGGCCGATGTTCAGCAAACCAATCATGATTTGCAGAGCCTGATGGGGGAGCAAACACAGTATGAGCGCCACACACCTGTACAGTTTAAAAGTAGTTACCAGGTGTCAAGATTAAAGTCATCTGGAGAACAACACGGAGGGGGGGGGCAGAGAATCCTGTTAGAGGACCTCTGTCTCATAGTTTCATTGTTTACTCAATGTTCCTATCATATATAAAACAGAACATTACCTGAAGACCCGAGACAGGTACAGAGCCCAGACAGTGTCATGAAAACACTCTGCAAATGAGACTTTGTCCTCATAGCTCTTTTCAGACGTTTTTTTTTAACTCAGCTCAGTGGTCATCACAGTTTTATACATTTGTATTGATTCTGTGACAGCGTAATGTTGGTGTCCCAGTCTGAGACACACACAGCGCTGCGCTCCCCTGCTGGCTCCGCTGAAACCGGCTCGCCTCTGTTACTACCACTAAAGACGGTGGGATCACTTCATCCCCCCATTACACTCTGCAACACTCAGATTGAAGGTGAAACATCACAGGGGAGTAAATAGTCAGAATTAAATCAGAACTGAGTGGGTGAAGGAAAACGTATGTGTGTACATTTCATAGAGATACTTCAAACATGAGCTTGTTACTTACCCCCAGGACTGACTGAGATGAGCCCTGGAGCTTCTTCAGATGCTGGGACACAGAGCAGCATATAGGGCTGTAACAAAGGCCTTTGAGGATTTGGCATATTGGAGGTAAAACACTTTGGGGGTCCGAGGTCAAAGTGAGCACAGTGACCCCTTCAGCCTTGGTCATGGTCACAGACATCCTGCCTGCTCCGACAGACTGAAAACACAAGAGAGTAACTGCACAATCAGTTTGCTGTTTCTTATTCCTTAAGTTTTAAAATAGTTACAAGCTGAATCTAAATGTCAAAGTAGTCCTCATAATCAGTTTTGCTGAGTGACTGACCTTTTCTTTTGGCTGACATTTATCGTCTCTTCTATTCCCTCTGACCAAAGTTTCACACAGTCAGTGAACTTTTTACACTTTGTCATTGAACCTTGAAGTGATTTTATGAACCTGTAAGTTCTTAGTCTGTGTCGCATAAGGTGACACTAACTTCTCCACATCCGGATTGAAAGTTGTCAGGAGTATATGCAAGCATATTCTAAAGTCCGCCCCCCAATAAAAGCTGACACTTGTACAAATGAAGTTGATACCTCCCGGCCTTACAGGAACTCCTGGAAACTTTAGGTTTTCGGACTTCGGTAAAGGAAGAAATATATTCACAGATTCGGCTTTCCCGGATCAATAACTCATCAGCGGAACATTTCTTTTACAAAACAGACACCTCTCTGCAATCACAACAAGATAGACTGGGAGCTACATTCATATTTTATACTCGAATGCGCAGGGACCGTCTGCAAATTGCAATCCCGAAAAAATATGATACAGAAATATTCAATAACTTCACCCAGGAGAGGTGTAGTGTCATGAAAATCATTTTACACATATGTGATCTCATGTTTCATACTACATTTCTTAGATTGGAAAATAATACTTTTAAAAAACCTTTGAGGATTTTTTAATTGCCTATAAATAGCCCAATGTTCAATAAAATCCCCTTTTGTAAGGTGTAGGGTAAAACAATAATCCCATTATGAATAAATGTCCTCCTGCTCTATAAACTACATCACATTGCTTTGGATAAAGGGCTTTCATGTAATTTCAGTGATTTTTTTGTCATGAATATATTTCTAACTTTACCAAAGCGGTTTACGGTACATATTCAAAGACGGCCATTGTGAACATCCTGTCTCAAAAAGATACTTTGAAACCTGGTTGTAAATGTATTTATCTGTGTTTGCCATTGCTCTTTATCATATGAGTATTATGATACAACTTCATTGTACTTCATGTATATTGTATACTATGCTGTATTATTTAATTGTATATCTGGTTTTAGTATTTGTATATATTTCTGATATTAGGCATAGACAGGCTTGCTCCAACAGCATTTCGTTGTACTTGTAATCCTAAACAGTGACAATAAAGATATCTCATCTCATCTTAAACAAGTGTGCCAGGGGGTATTGGGCGCCGATTATAAAGTTGCGCACACTACAAATAACAACAAATCTTAGCTAAATATTTAGAAATCAAAGCTAAATATTTAGTTTATATTCTATATATTTAGCTTTGATTATAAATATTTACAATCTTAGCTAAATATATAGGATCAAAACTAAATATTTAGAAACGTAGCTAAATATTTAGAATCAGGACATGTATTTTTAACATTTATATATAACATTTAACATTTATATATAACATTTAACATTTAGATAAAACATTTAACATTTATATAAAACATTCAACATTTAGACATAATATTTAACATTTATATATAACATTTAACATTTAGATAAAACATTCAACATTTAGACATAATATTTAACATTTATATATAACATTTAACATTTAGATAAAACATTCAACATTTAGACATAATATTTAACATTTATATTTGCCAATGAAATTGTCTTACATTTTTATTCACAAAAGTAAATTTGACAATGTTCACAAATATTTCTCTAAATGTGAATAAAAAGTGATGTTTTAGGGCTAAATGTGGAGAAATGTTGTTGTTATTTGTAGTGTGCGCAACTTTACAATCTGCGCCCCTTACAGGGGTTTTGTTCTTTATTTCTTGTGGATCATTGTTGAGGACAGCCAGTCCATGTGCTTAACTGTCATTGCAAACATAATTTTCACAAGCCATTTGTTTACATTATAGGCTAGTTGTTAACTGTGTTTTTTTTCTTGTCGCCACTCTTTTCTTTTCTTGCTTAAATCTAGAAAACGATGTTACATTTTACTTTCGCACCCTTCCTACACTGAGCCCTATTTGAGAAGTTTTTTTTTTTTTTTTAAACTACGAGCATATTTTTCACAACACAAAAAAGAGCTAATCATTAAACTCTCGATGTGATTTAATAACTGTAATCCAGTTTAAAGCATTCAGTACTCACATAAAGGTTTTTTGGATGAAGTTTTTTGGAAGTTGATGAAGTCTGTCTCACTCGATGAGCTGGATTTACTTTTATTAAGTAAACAAGACACACCTACGTATTGGTATTATCCCATGATATCTTTTTCTAACTAGAGTGCTGCTGTCTCAGTAGCGTTGTGCTCAGCGCTGCCTCTGGCGGTCGGAGGCTGTACTGCATTAGCATATCCTCTTAGTTTAATTCTGACCTTTAAAACATTTCAGGCACAAACAATGTTCATTGCGAAAATAGCTAGTAACATTGCTTTGGCAAAAAATCACCATGTTTTTAAACGATTCTACGTCATTGTTATTGTAATGTGGCGTCCAGCCACGAGGGGCAGCACTGAGCGCCTTTGCCTACGAGTAGGCCAGCAGACTTTCTTTTTTTCTTTTTTTTTAATAAAGGGAGGAGAAACGAATCATTTTCCAGAAGTACTTCCCTATCTGGGAAATGTGTAGAAAATTCGTCCATTAATCAAGAAGACAAAAGTGACTTCTCTCTTTATGCGATTCTTACATCTACATCATCAGCATGACGCAGGGCTGAAGGATGAATAAAGTCAAAGTCATCTTTATTGTCAACTTGTGCCATACGTATAATGGACATAAAATGTCTTTGAGAAGTCAATTTATTCCAAGTGCAATAAACATCCTTGATCTCACTATATGACTGATGGGATCTAAACCGTGATTGAATGTGTAAGTGTAGCTGCTCTGCTTGTCTGTGTTACTGACTGCCTGAATGTTTTTGTGCTGTTTTATGCATTTGGAGAGCCTAAAAAAAGATGTGCATTCAAAATAAATGTGCAAAGTAGAATAGAGGAGAGGTTTTATCGCACAGATTCAGCAACACATTGTAACAAACACAAGAAATATACACTACAGGTAATAACACTGCTTAAACATACACCCTTTATAAAAATGTAAAAAGAGACAATGAAACAACAGACTGTTTTGAGACTTATTGCATTTAAATTATTGCACACGACAGTTTTTCACCTGTAGCTACGTTTACACATTAATAGTTCTGAACATATATTATCTCACATTACGCTGTTGCACTTATTTGGTTCATGGTAATAGTTTCTATGTTGTTGCACTTATTATCCATCATGTAGGTCAGATGGGTGATGTTCTACTTTCCACCTTATGTCATGTACTTTGAGTCTGATGTTGGCTGGAAAGAAGTGGAAGTAGACCTGAGATGAGAGTCCTAAGAAAGAGAATGAGACAGAGAGTGAAAACTCAGATGAAGACCTCGATGAGGTGGACAAAGATCCAGAGCCAGATTAAGTGTACCGTCATCTGCACCATCATCTGGTGCCCTGTGCAACACTGCATTTTATATATTGCACTTTACAACATGAACAATTTTAGTTTGAAATGTTCCATATTTTGTCCATTTTCAGGTTTGTACTTTTATTTGGGGTGTCTACTATTAAAAGTTTTCATGCTTTATAATGTTCAAAAACCCTTTATTTTTCTCATCCTGTCCATTGATGCAGCAGTATTATTAACCAGCTAGTCATATTCTCCATTTTCTGTCTCTTTAACACCTTCTTCCAGGTCCAGTCTCCTCATTAGTCTACTGAATGAAAGAGTTGTATTGAAGTTTGCTCTCATTTCTAACAGGTCTACAGACATTATATTGTAGTAGTGTTAGCGTGCTATACTGTTATCAATGTTTAATTGCACTTAATTATGTTAATTAGGCGCCTTATTTGAAAACACGTGCTGTATTCCATGTAGTAGGGAGACCTCTGCTGGACATTTTGCGGAAGTGTGTTTATCATGTATAAATGCCTTGAACTTCAGTTTATTTTAAGTGAGCTATTCTTGGCTTGTGAGGGTGGTACACTACGAATGTTGGGAGGTACCAGCCCTCTTCTTCGTCTTTCAATGGTGGAGCCAACTCTGCATGATTCTTTTCGAAAATGTGGTGCATGAAGGTGAAAAAGTGCTTCTTCATCTCAGCCTTTCTTTCAAAGGAACGACAAAGAGAGTTGAATCAATTCACTGCTTGCTCCCCGTTGTTCGGCAGATGTGGTCTTGACGTGCGGAAGGGAAGCGGAGCAACCCAGCTGTTCCCGTCATCAATGAACATCTCCTTATCCATTAGTTCAATGAACTGCTTGTCCTCAACAGAAGGAGCAACCTTGTTGTCATCTTTGGTGTGTTGGAAGATCTTACTTCCCAGAGAGTCTTCTTCAGTGCATCGAGCCGGAGCATGAATGAGGTGTGAACTTTGGATGTTGTGGAGACTATGAGACTGTACACTTTTCACTATAGGCTTCTCTTTAAGGGTCAGATGATTTGGACAGGGCTCAAAGAAGGAGTGGCGCCCATTCTCGAGGATGTAAGTGCAGTAGACATTTACATCCTTAGGTTTGTGAGCTGCACCTAGACAAGCTTCACCGATGATGACCCAGCCGAGATCTAAACGTTGGGCGTAAGGTGCGTTGTTTGGTCCATTACACTGATCTCTCACCTTGTGTACCTGTAGGATGTCACGTCCTAGGAGCAGTAATATCTGAGCTTCTGGGTTAAGTAGAGGGATGTGCTGAGCAATGGAGTTGAGATGAGTATGATTCTCTGCTACTTCTGGTGTAGGTATTTCTGACCTGTCAGTAGGTATGTAGTTGCACTCTATGAGAGTCGGAAGATTTATACTCAGACTTCCATCCAGAGGTTTTGCTATGAAGCCTGTTGCTCTCCTCCCAGACATCTCAGTGAGACCCGCACACGTCCGGAGAGTGTAGAAAGCTTCTGTGCCTTTAAGGTCGAAGAGGTCAAAGAACTCAGATCTGGCCAGGGATCTGTTGCTCTGGTCATCCAGAATAGCATAGAGTCTCACAGACCTTTTGCTTGTTTACTAGGATGCATTGTGATGAGGCAGATCTTAGAACATGAGCGTGGACCGTTACCTGATCCGCAGACCTCTGTACACTTTGAGTTCACTGAAGATGATGACTCCCCATCCTCCTCCCCGCCGTTCTCTGACTTAGGGTTCTGGCCAGCCCATGGAGCAGGTCCAGGGTGAAGAGCTGCCAT